AGTTGATCATTAAAGTCGATTCTCTCGTATTCAAATTTTTATTACGTCAGTGACACGATTTATCTACGTTAATTGTTCTTATTGATATTTTTATTAATAAATTTATTTTTTACAACTACGCTATTTAAATTATGTATATTTATATAAAAAAATAATAATTATGTTCAACTTATAATTCATAAGACTCACCAAATCTATCGAAACACCATTAGAGCGAAGATGGCTTAATGAGAGTTGCCTTTCTCCCTATTTTTGTAGTAGAAAAATGATAAGATAAACTTTTATGCTCTAGTTTAATATAAATTTGTATAAATAAGAATTTTAGACCAACAAACTTTATATCACTGTAATAATTACTGAAATAGTACACAAAAGAAAAGCAACTTACAAAAATGAAACAAACTAAAAATCCATGTCATCACCAATCCGATTGCCGAATCAGAATATATACCGACACCCATATACATACATATCACACCTTCAAATCTCTCCCTATTCTGTCTGATTAGTCTCACAGTCTCCTCCTGCGATGAATCTAAACTACTCTCTTCTTCCTTTCGTCTCCTTCATCGCTCTCTTCTTTCTACCTTCCTTAATCTCATCTCAATCTTGCCAGAGATACTGCGGCAAATTACCAGTCCGATACCCATTCGGCACCGGCCCCGGCTGCGGCGACCCACGCTTTCAACAATACGTAACCTGCCATGACCAGCAACTCGCCTTAACCACACACACCGGCTGCTACCCGGTCACCGACATAGACTACACCAACCAGCTCATATTCATCTCAGATCCTTCCATGTCAACCTGCGACTGCACACGACCCAGCAATGGCTTTGGTCTCGACTGGGCCGCTCCTTTCTCTTTCCACGACGACACCGTTTTCACTCTCCTCGACTGCTCCCCCACTTCCTCCCCAATCCTCAAATCAAACTCCAGCTCTGTTCCTCTCTGTGACAAACAGGGTTCACCCATTTGCACTTTCTTGTATTCTTGCACGTCGATTAGCATGATGAATCTGCCTATCTCAACTTGCTGTGTTTACACGCCGGTTGATCTTGGACCGTCGTTTGAGATGGATTTACAGAAGCTGCATTGTTCTTCTTATTCTGGGCTTTATAGTTTTAACGGACAGGAATCAGACCCAAGAAAATGGAAGTATGGGATTGCCCTGAAATATAAGTTCAATGTTTATAATGATTATCCAAACTCCTGCGCCAGTTGCGAGAGGACAAATGGAGCTTGTGGGTATAGGACAGAATCTTATAATACGTTTATATGTAGCTGTCCTAGTGGATTCAATACATCAACTGAGTGTTTCTTTGGAACATCTTTTAACAATGGCTTAAAACTTCTTCCATTGCAGAAAGGTACTAATTATATTGATTTCTTTTTCTTTAAAAAAACTACGTCAGGTTGGTTTGTCTAATATTGGGAATTTTTTGATGTGCAGGGAATTGGCTGCTTGGTGGTCTGCCATGGATTCTGGTTTGGGTACTACTGTAGATTAATTGTGAAAAACTAATAATAATAAAAAAGGAATTATAACAGTCCCAAACTGACTCAAGTTAATGCCGAAGTTTTTTTAAGACCATTTTCTCTTCATGTGATGTGATGAACTGGGAAAGATCTTCAGAAGGAAGGAATGTGTAAATAAAGGTAATGGTGGACGGTGAAGGACGGAGTCAAAACAGGAAGAAAATGACTTTATGATTTCTGTGCTTATAACACAAAACACACGCGCACACACATATATATATATGTATGTATGTATTTTGTGTTATAAGTAAATATAGTAATCAGTTTTTGCTATTATTTCTTTTAGGCATCACTTTTACTATTGTTGATAATATAATTATGTAATAAAGGAATTGTGAATTTATAAGCTAAGGTTACCTTTGTGATTAGATTGCAGGATTATTACTAATTTTTGTTTTTTGCAAATTTTTAAAGTTAACGTTGATAATTTGTCTTTTTTAAAAAAATAATGTTAAGATTGCTTCAACATTTAATTTTGCTAAATAAAATAAAATTTTAAATGAAAAATAAACTTACAAGTCAAAGTTAAGTTAATTTTATGTTCAATTTAAGTAGGTGTTTTCATTTTTTTTTTTTCCTTTGACGAGTATAAACACAAATCCATAATTGATTCAACTGTACATCAAAATTTTAAATTACTACTAAAATTTAAGAATTAAATTGACATAAAACATGTTTGAACCAAGTGCAACATTAATCTTAGTGCTTAAATCTTTGACCCATTAGAAAAAGTAATATACAATAAGGTATTTTTAAAATGTCACACGCACAAACTAATTCATCCCAAAACTAAGAAGAAAAAAAAAAAATCCAGCAAATGCTAGAAAATTTAAATTAAGCCAAGAAGTTTTATATGAGTTTTCAGGTCTACATGGATAAAGTAGGCATTTGAATTTTGGATTGGTGGGTTTAAATTAAATTGAGTGATGGAATGGAATAAGATTCTCTTAAGCATCCACTAACAGAGAATCGCTTTCAATATAATAAAGCCTGGGTCTTTTTTTTATGTGTAAAGCTTCTCTCTTTTTATGTAAGCTTCTTTGGCTGCTTCTACATAGTGACATACAAAGTTCCACGCCTACTTTTACATCAACCCAATAAAAGAAAAAACCCACCTACTTGGTTTCCTTTTTGCATCCAAATGTTCAATACTTACTTACAGCAAAAGCTGAGATTACTTATAGACGACACTTACAAGTTATATCTATACAAGGTATATCTACGTATTCAACTGAAAAATTGCTTCTTTCGTAAGATCTTATGGGTTAAAATTGAATAGTCCATGTGAAAAACTGGAGGTCAATACAAATATTTTTTCTCCTCACACTCAGATTTACATACTCAAATAAAGCAAATGAAATGAATACATCAGCAGGATGGTCACACAAAGAAAGAGAGAGAGAGAGAGAGTCTGCCCTTAAACAAAAGTATTTGTTGCATTCTGGTCAAGCTGTTTTTCAATTACAGGCTACGGATCAAACTAGATATTAGACATCCTGAAGCCATTTCAAAGAGAAATGGAGAGGCTAAAGGGGGAAAAAGGGCTAAATTAATGAATGAATTTGGAAGGGGGATCATGAAAAGCCCCTATATATATATATAAAACTAAAAAACCCATTGGATATTTACAGAAATAATTATAACTGCAAAACTTCTTTCTATGTCTCCTTTCTCAAATTTACCACATGCTGAGATTAACACTATCCGCATTAATGTGCCACGATCATCTCATATTGCAGCACTGGGGCTTTTCGTGATGTTGCAATTTATCCCACATGCATATCATCTGTCTTGGAGATTGGTAATGAGCAGTATAATAATCCTCAATGCAACCAAACTGACAAAACTTCAAACTATGAATGTACTCCACTGGTTTTGAACTGTTGAACTTTTCCACCCACATTCCCATGCTCACATCCTCCATCTTGAATAACTGCATAATGTACATATCCATTTCAATAATTCATCCATGTTTACCGATTAGCGCAGCCTTCGCATGAGTGACTCATGCATCGACACAGAATTGGAAAGGGACATAGAGGTTACTTGGTACAGAAGTAACTGCAAATACTTACCCTCAATTTATTTTCTTCAAACTCATCAACAATGAACTCTGCAATGTCAGATGATACTATGTATCCCGGACCATTAGCATAGGGAGGATAATCTTCCTCTGGCCATTCCTGGTTATCAACACAATATCCTTAGAAATTGTTAAGGATATGGAAAAATCCTAATACCCCTCAAGAGAGGAAACTCAATAAAACATAACATTAACGTTTTATGGGATTGAACAAATTCTGGACTGCCAAGAAATTTGGCCAAACTCAGTACCATCAGTTGATTATTTAGAAAAAATGACAACTGTATAATGCTTTGACCTTCACTAGGTACTTGGGAACAACAGAGCGCTAAATCATATTTCTGCAAACAAACAAAAATTCAAAACTCCCCCATTACAAGGCAAAGAAAAAGATCATCTAAATGGCAGGTGGGGGCAATAAAAGATTAGATAGATATTATTTCAAAATCCTCGTTTTAGGAAGAGCACTGAATTAGTTTCAAATCACAACATTGGTAACATAGATCTATTTAAATGAAATAGAAATCTCTTAGCTTGCTACTCTAACAACACACTTGAAACTAAAAGCATTGTACCATCCAGCAGAACAAATTCATGCCAAAGCATATCGAACCAAACATGAATAGAACCAAGTCCACAAAAGAAAGCCACTCAAGAGAGAGGGCATCCAAACAGGAAGCAAGCAGATTATATCATAATCTTTTGCATGAAAACGCCTTCTTACCCACATCATTATGAAAACAAGTATATGGTGAATCTTATAATTGAGCATCAGAAAAGAAAGTAGCACTCTGGGAAAGGTAATTAAACAATTGAGCCATCTAATATTTGCAGAATTGAAGAGAAAATCATACCTCATATGTCACAGCCCATTTACCATGACGAAGAGGTTTGTGATAGTAGTTCATGTTCCCAATATATAGACTTCTATCGGCATGGACTTTCTTTGCTTCCTTGATAACAGCATCCAGCCTAACAAATGTATCATCATCACATTTCATGATGTACTTTGCAGCTACAGTACGAACCTGTGGATAACCACAAACATTGAGAACAAAGTATCTCATGTAAGCTAAGCTCATTAGTAACAAGAACTCTGATAGATTGTACATGTAAATTTTAATAGACAAAATACAGTGGGAATATATTGTCCCTACACCCTCACCCCATATTCACATATTGCGACAGTCTTCAGCACAACAAGGTCATAGTTATCCATGTAAGGAACTATAACAACATCACCAAAATACTCTGCTTCTTTCTTTAGCTCCAAGTTGACTTCTTTTCTTCCATGCTGAAAAAAGAGAGAATGTAATTAAATTCTCCATACTAACAACAACTCTCATAGTAGTTCCGAAAAGAAAATATGCATCTTGCATTCACCCATACCAGGGCTACAAAAAACCGAGCCACAACGTTCGAATTTTGTATTAACTCATGCTGCATCCAAGATTTCCTGACAGCCATCCGCTCAGCAAAATGATTGCCAGCAGAAAGGATGCCTATAAAAAGTTCCACAGGTCCATTGGGAAGAGGTGGTGCTCTCCAAATGTTTAACATCTCAAGATGCTTCTGTGGAGCAAAACTTGGATGCGTAGAAGGCAAGGATGCAGCAAATACAGAGTGCACATCTATGTCCCCATTTAAAGATAATCCAGTGGCATCCTCAAGGACAAATCCCTGAAAAGATTATAGACAAACAAGTAAGTATTCCATATTAATCACGAAGATCAAGCAATGTAGAAAAATACTTACAGTGCGATAAGGGAATGAAGTAATATGTCTGCCGTCAACATTAATGTGGTAACCTTCCAAGCCTGCCCTTAAGGTAAGAACAAACAGCTTGCCTTCTGAAAAAGGGTAAGGCCAATCAACCGTAACTTTCTTTGTTCGGCCTATTAGTCTGTTTAACCACCATGAGGATTTTGATTCTTCAGAATGATTATCATCATCACGAATCCATTTCTCACATTTTACCTGTCCATCAACTGCATAATTTGGAAATAATTGCATATTGTCACTTGAAAGTAATGAACTTAGCCAACAAATTTTTGACCATTAAAACACACCGGTCTCAGAGTGGTTAAAAATTTGTTAGAACCTTCAAATAAGGTAGGTTATTCTGCATTCACTATCACTAGATTTCATAACCAATGTTCCCAAGCTACAGTGACAAATATCAAATCCAGAGAAAGGCAAAAGACAACGAAAAATCACCTACCAGTCTCCTCATCAGCTCTGGATTTCCATCCCTCGCATCTAAGCGCCGAACCCCATTGCATCCTATAGCAAGTATTCTGCTCGATCACTGGCTTTCCGCTCCAGTCGCCTTTCAGCCTTGGATTGAAATGCAATATCCGCGGCGGGTCCTCACCGTCTACAGTTTTCAGCCCCTGCAACTCCATCATAAACTGCGACACCATCACCGAGTCGTCCCCTTCCTTCAGCACCGATATCTTCGGATCATGCTCCGCGTGAGCCCAGCGCGGCATACCCACAACTGTAATGTGCGACCCGAGTGTTAACCCACAAGGAATCACTACGATTCGGCTCCGGTTCAAGAATTCCGACCCCGATATGGAAATAGAATGAGGGCATGATTCTGATTGATTTTGCTTCAGCTTCTCTATGTCGGGCTTCGCCTTCCCCGATTCAAGTTCATCCCAAATTTTTTTGCCCACAGAAAAGGCGTGCTTAACGGCCTTGAGGAGCACGGGGAACTGGTCAGGGTTGCCAGTACCATCGAATTTGCTCTCGTTGAAGAAAAGACCAGAAACTTTCCTGAACTCCCCCATTCTCCTCTCCGGCGTCCTCGACCGTGTGGGAAAGGATGACATCTCGGCGGCACTGGGGGAGGGGTCTTTCAAAGGTCGAGTCGGGGCTTCTTTGGCGGAAAAGTACTGTTCGGTCTCGAGAGCCAGAGGCCTAGGCAATGCGTCAGTGAGGAATCCGACGGAACCGTCACCAGAAATAGAGCCGAAGCCAGTTCTGATTACTAAAGGGATTTCAAAAGTAATGAAGAGGAGGTAGAAGAAGAGAACACCCATCAAGAACTGAATCAGCCGGAGTCGACTCAGTGACAGCAGCGAGTCGAGTTTCCCTCGCTTCATTGCCACTGAGAAGAAGAAGAAGAAGAAGAAGAAGGAAAAACTCCCTAAAAGATCTCACCTTTCAAGAAGAAAGGAAGTGGGTCGTCAGGCAAAAGAAGAAAACAAATATCAAAAGAGCCTCTATTTGGTTTGGTTGGTATACAAAACCGTGTTTGTTCTCTCGCTCCTCTGAATCCCTAAGATTCGTGCAAAAACAAATTTGGGGAAAGAACTCAAAGAAGCAAAAGAGTTAGAACTTAATAAGAAATAGAAGCTTTGAAAACTTGATTGAGAAAAATTAAAAATTGACAGACTATTTGATCAGCCAAGTCCTTTTCACCACTTCCCATGCGGTGAAGGGAAATAAAAGAGAGCAAAACGCCCCAGTTTGTTTCCCTATCGTTGCGCGTACCTGAGACGAAGGCAGGAGTAGTGGCTTCTGCTTCTAACACCAAAACGACGGCGTTTGCAGTCCACATTTAGATTCCCTAAACGCTGCCGTTTGAATTTCTTAAAAATTGCTAGAGATTAAAATTTGCAAGTAATGAAGGGACAGGTCACAGGTGGTCGGTGATGGCGTGGACACCACATTCTTTCAACGACGCGGGGTCTTGGTCAACTTTTTTCTCTCCCGTGTAATTTTTTTAAAATTAAAAAAAATATATTTATTATAATAAAATTAAAAATAATGATTGAACTTTACAGAATGTAATGGTTAAGATTGGTAGCGGCGAAGGAAGGACCGTTAAAAGTTGTGACGGGGTTTTAAATTTTAATCGTTGGAGGTGTCTTTGTCTATCACTTTTATTTTTTCAAATTTTAAAATATTGTCACTTCAATCATTATGGCACAGCCAAAATGACCCATAAAATTTATACCAGTTTCTAATTTTTTTTTTTTTTTTAAATTTGATTATTTCATAAATATAATGTCGATAACAATTATTTAATTTACTATTACTTTAAGTTAAAAGGTAAATTATTAATAATGTCGAATTATTATTTGATTTATATTCGGATAGGCGAAAAAAATAGTGAAAAAAGAGCCACGATTGATGTGGACCAACATGAAATTGGGAATTTCTCAGGACTCGTCATTAGTCACTCGGTGTATTAATATTCAACTCCCGCGGAAGGTGACAGGAAACGCCGGTTCACCGGTCACGTTTTTATATTTTTTGATGAACGAGGTGTGAAAACACGTGACGTTTTTTCCTTTTTACGTTAATTTTGAATAAATGAGACGTATGGTTAGTTAGTAATAAACTTTTAAGAGATGGTTAGACTCCAAGTATTAATTAACAATTAAAACATTAGGTCGTCTAACTTTATGTAA